ACCCCCACTAGCCCCCATTTCCAGACAGGAGCCACCGCCTTCATTCCACCTCGTCCTCCAACCCCAGCCCTGGTCTCCCCAGCCTGCCCACACGCTCCCTCAGGACAGCTCCCGGCACCCCACACATCCCAGCTGGGCAGGGTGTGGCCTGAAACCTGCACCTCCCTGTGCTCCAGGCCTCTGGGGAGTCCAGAGGCAGCTGGCCACTGCCTGGACCTGGATCTAACAGAAACCCTGGCCAAGGGCAGTTACACCAGCGCAGGCGTGTGAACCCCGCCTCCAGGGAGCGCTGCTGACAGCACAGCTGCACTGCGCAAACCCTGCCTCCAGGGGGCGCTGCTGACAACGTGGGCGCAAGTGTGAACCCCGCCTCCAGGGGGCGCTCCTATGTGAACCCCGCCTCCAGGGGGCGCTGCTGACAACGTGGGCACAAGTGTGAACCCCGCCTCCAGGGGGCGCTCCTATGTAAACCCCACCTCCAGGGGGCGCTGCTGACAACGTGGGCGCAAGTGTGTGAACCCTGCCTGCAGGGGGCGCTGCTGGTGAGTGGCGTGAGCCTGCCCGTGACCCACCCCTGCAAGGTCTGGCCTTTGCTGTTCTATCACGCACAAAAACGCCGGGCGGCAGAGCAGAGGCTGACCTCGGGCAGGCTTCCCGAGAGTGGAAGGGGCCTGTCTCTTGCCCCATGGCTTCGTTGTCATAACACCGAGGCACCCGGAGTGGCTGTTTCCAGGGACCGTCCCTCTGCACCGCCAAAGGGAAAGTGGGCACCCCAGAAGGAAGGCAGGAAGGAGGCGGCCCCAGTAGGATGGGGGCCTCCCACCCACCTGCTTCTTCTAAGCCCGGTGCTGCTCTGAGCTGGGTTCAGGCAGTGACAGATTCCCAGCGCTCAGATGTGGGGCTGGGACTCGTGCTCATGGGGGAGGGGTGGGCTCCTGGGGGTGTCACAGCTCTGGGCAGGCACCGTGGAGGGCTCCCAGGGAAAGCCTGGGCCCCTCCAGTGGCCACAAAGGCCCAGGCGAGGGCTGGGCGACCCTCGCCTGGCCCCGGCAGCTGAATTCAATGCCCCATTCTCCACGCCAGACCCTGCACGGGCCGGAAGCATGAGTGCTTGTGACTTTAGACCCCGTGGGACAGCCCCTCCAGGCTGGACAGGCCCACACTGACCACAAGGAAATCCCACAGCCATTCATCAGCCCGAGGGCGCTGGACCCTTGGACAGATTGCAGGGGCGTGCTGAGGGCTGGGTTGGGGGATGCCCTGGGTGGCTGGGGGTTCTCCAGCCCTTGGGCAGAATTTGACTCAAGATTCTGCTGGTCCCTGGCCTCCATCCCCATTCCCTGCTGGGGCTCCGGGCCTTCAGCCCGCATGGGGTACGAGGTGGGGGTCCCCCGTGGCCGTGCAGGGGGGCCCTCTGCTCCCTGGTTAGGGCGGCTGCAGCCCCAAAGCAGAAGCCCCCTGTGAGAGTGGACGTGGATGTTCTCTCTTCTACAAAGCCGTCCAAAGTGACCCCAAGCTGGAGAGGGAGGTCTGTCCCCCCCCCAAGCAGCTGTGCCCACGGGCTCCGTCCCCACCAGGCGGAAACCCTCCTGACCCCCGTTCCCAAGCCCCTGCAGGAAGCCCGCAGCTCCTCCAGCAGCTGAGGCCACTCTGAGACCCCAGGATCCAGATCGGGTGGAACCCGCTCCCCACACTCCTCCCCCCCACAGCCCATCGCATCTCTGGGCAGGTGCTAAGGGCTCACATCTACACCCTGGCAGAGCAGGCAAGCCCTGGAAGCATCATGGATGCGCATGCGTGTGTGTGCGTGCATGTGTATGCATGTGTATGTGTGCGTGTGTGTGACCCCAGGTGGAGAGAGGATCAGCCTGAACCCCAGGGGAATGGAGGGAGGGGGGTCCTGTCCTTAGGTCCAGTCAGTCCAGTGCCAAGAGCTCCCGGGGCTCCCAAGCGAGGGCACTGGCTTAGCACACCAGTCTCAACCCCCGTCCCCACCTCATGAGTGGGATAGCCTGGGGGAGAGGTTCCCCCCAGCCGGGGCTAACAGGACTTGAGCCCCCCCCACAACCCTTGCATCCAGCCCCTGGCTTCTTTTTTTTTTTTTTTTTTTGCTTTTTGGGTCACACCTGGCAATGCACAGGGGCTAGTCCTGGCTCTGCACTCAGGAGTTACTCCTGGCGGTGCTCAGGGGACCATATGTGATGCTGGGAATTGAACCCGGGTAGGCCGCGTGCAAGGCCAAAGCCCTACCTGCTGTGCTATCGCTCCAGCCCCTGCAGCCCCTGGCTTCTTAAACGTTTCCCATTTATGACCCTTTCTCATGCATCTCTCTATATTGGTGTTTGGTTTGTTTGGTTTGGGGGCCCCTGCTGGCGCCGCTCAGGGCTTCCTCCTGGCTCCGCACTTGGGGACCACTCCTGGCAGTGCTCTGGGGACCCTCTGGGGCGCTGGGGATGGAACCCCAGCCAGCTGCGTGCCTGGCGATCACCATCCCCAGTGACCCCTTCCCCTGGGAGATGTGACCTGGCCGGCACTGCTGGGAGCAGCTCAGACACCTGATGCGCGTGCCTGACGCTCTGCCTTCACATTCTGCTGTGCCACCCCAGACGGGACCTCTGGTCCCTGTGTTAAGTAGCTGAGCTCCAGACGGGGACGTCCCCGTGTTTCTCCTGGGGGGTGGGGGTCTCAGAGGGCCCCGGGAGGCCCCCCAGGAGAGAAAGCAGTTGGGAATAGAGGTGCAGGGGTGCTCCCAGAGTGGGGTGCTCCCACGAAGGGTCCTCCCAGAAGCTTCCCAGGGGGCTCGCGTCCCTTTGGGGGGGAACCAGCCAGACAAAGCGAGGGCGGGGAAGCCGGAAAGGAAATGAAACGAACAGAAACAGACGAAGCGACAGGTCACAGAGGGGTTGGCCTGGGCCGAAGCGTGTTTAATTGGCGACAGGAGCACATACAGGAGACAGGAGGGGCCTGGCCTGGGGACCCCCAGCCCACCTCCCTACCCCCCCCCCGGCGGGGCCTGTCACCAACCCCCGGGGACAGCGCCCGGGCTCGCGGGGACCTTGGCAAACAAGCGTTCCTGTCCGGGACCCTCAGCCCCGAGACCCCCACAATGCAGAGCCCTGGGGGGCCGGGCTCAGCGTGTCCCCCCGAAGCAGCCGAGCACGGACAGCCCCCACGAGCAGGCGCGGCGTGCCCGGAGTCCTGGGTGGCTTGGGGGTCCGGGGTTCCTCCGTGGGGGAGGGGGGTGTCGCTGCGGAGACAGACTGTGGGCACGGGCGCCGGGGCGGGGGGCGGCGTCCGGGTGTCCAGCGGGGGGCTGGGGGGGTCTGCGCCTCGGCCGAGACAGAAGAGGAACAGCTGTTTATTCAACAAAAGCCTTTTATTCATTCAAAAATCAACCAGTGGGTTTATTCCGCAGATATCAAAAAAAGGGGGGAGGGGGCCAGGCTTCCCGTCACAGCGCCCTGACTCTGAATAACCGGCTGTCTCTGGAAAAGCCCCAAAAAGGGGTGTGGGGGGAGGAGGGGGAGGCCCTGCGCCGCGGGGGGGCCGCCCCCCACGCGCCGCCCCCACTCCGGGGGCGCCTTCCCGCGCGCCGCCGCCAGGGGGCGCCCACACGGCCGCGGGGCCCGCGCTCTTGGGGGCTCTGCGGCGCTCCCGGCCGCCCCTCCCGACACCCAGAAGAAACAACGGCCCAGGGGGCCCAGGGGGGCGGTGGTCGGGCTGCGAAGCGTTTCCGGGGAGGGGGCGGGGCCGACGCGTGCGCGGCCGGCGGGGCGGGAAGGGGCGGAGAGACCCGCGTCCCGGGAAACAGCAGCATCTGGGGGGCTGGGCCGGGGTGGGGGGGTAGGACCGTGCTGGGGGCGGGGGCGGCCAGGGAAGTGCCAGCGTCCCCACCGGGAAGGGGCAGGGGTGCCCTAGGCTGGGTGTCTGGGGGCGCTGTTGCACCCTCGGTCCCAGCTCCCCTCCCACGCAGTGAGGCAGCCCCCCTCCCCCCCAGCAATCTGAGAAGCTAAGGGTGCGGGGACCCCCTTCTGCCGCATCCCTCCCAAATCCTCTCCTGCCGGGAAGGGGACCCCAAGCTTCGAAGTCACCCAGGAAAATAAGGGCCCTGGGGTGCCTGAGGGGGGAGTCAGGGGGCACCAGGAGTCTGGGGGCTGCGAGCAGATGGGGAGTAGCGAGGCTTCTTCTCCGGAACCCAGCAGAGACCCAGGCCCACGAAGCTTCCCCTCCAGAGGGACCCCAAAGAGGCCAGAGCCTGGGGAGGGGGCAGAGAGGCCCACTGGAAGAAGAGACCACACTGACCCTGCCCGCAGACCCCAACTCTGTGCCCCTGAACACGGGCCTGAGCAGCGGGGGCTCAGACAGACCCCCCAGACCCCGAGGCTCAGCAGACTCAGAACCCCCCAAGACCCTTCCCGACCCGGGGCGGGGGTCATGGGTCCCAGGGGCCTTGCAGGCCTTGTCCTGGAGGGACTCTGGGAGCCAGAAGCTTCCAACAGGGTGGGGTGGGGCCCTCCTGGCAAACGAGCTAAAAGGGTAGAGGGCACTCAGGGCCTGGGGGACCATAGGCAGGGAAGCCTAGTGGGGAGAGCAGAGACCCCCCTTTCCAAGGCCCCCAGGCGGGGAACGGCGGTTCTGGCCCAGACTGGCCTGTGTCCTCGTCAGTACCAGCCTCGCCACCCCTGGGCCCTGGCAAACACCAAAGCAAGCGCCGAGAGCCCCACCCACATGGGCCCTGCTCCTGCCCAGGGCTACTTGGGAAGCAGGCGGTCTCGGGCTGCGGAGAAAATGGGCCCCAAGAGGAGGCATCGGGCTGCGGGGGGCGGGGAGGGGCAGGAAACGGGGGGCACATTCGCGCCCTGAATGCCCAGCACAGTATCTGGAAAGAAAAAAAAGAGTTTTTGGCTTTGTGGCCTCCGGAACCAGGGCGGGGGCACGGGCGGCGTAAACGGGTCGGGTCCGGACAGTGACACGGAACCCCCAATAAATAAACAACATTGCGGGGCGCAGGGTCGGGGGGGAAGGAGTGTCCACTCCCGAAAACACGGCTCTGACCTCACGCACACACGCACACACACATCCCAGCCAGGGAGAGCCGGGTCAGCCCGCCCCGGACGGCCCCCGACAGTCCCCAAAACCCCCCAACGGCCCCCACGCCCCCAGATGGTCCCCAACGGCCCCCGATGGCTCCTGGCGGTTGCAGCCACAGCGCACACCCGCGTCCGCGGCCTCCTGTCCCTGTCCCCCGGTCTCCGGAGCAGAGGTTGGTGTGTGCGTGCATGCGGACCCCCGGGTCGGCTAGAAATCAAACACAAGAAAACGCGTAGGAGGGCGGGCGGGCGTCCTGGCTCCCCGCGCGGGGGCTGGCGACTGGGGCCGCGGTTTCAGGCAGCGGGGGGTGCAGGGCAGGCGGGAGTGGCAGGGTCCCCCGCAGGGCGGCGGTGCCAAGACGGGCTGGTGGAACGGAGGTGGGTGGTGGTGGGCTGCGGTGGCCGCATGGCACGGGAGGAGGTGAGTGGTCCTGGGCATCTGGAAGACACAGGAGGGGCCGGGTGAGGTCGGGGCACCCGAGCTGGAGGGAAAGTCGGTAAGAATCAATACAATTCTTAATTCATTCATCATCCTGTTATTCGTCGATTGCCTCGAGCAGGCCCCAGTAACGTCTCTTTCACCCTAGCCCTGAGATTATATTCAAGGCTCTTTAGGAGAATGAGACCCATCATTGTTACTGGTATTTGGCATATTGGGTACGCCACGGGGAGTTTGCCAGACTCTGCCCTGTGGGCAGGCTACATTCGATAGCCTGCAAGTTTGTCACAATTCTTAATGACTTTATTAAATAACAAATAAAAAAGAAATTAACCGATCGAATAAAAATCAACGAGAATTAGTGAAATGAGTCAGAAAGAGAGGGACAGACATAGAAAGATTGCATTCATCTGTAGAACATAAAGTAACAAAATAGGAGACTAACACGCAAGAGTGGCCGAGATTAGTACCAGGAATTTTGCTCCATGGCTTGGAGGCCAGCCAAACATGCTAGAGGAAAAGGGAGCTCAGATAGGAGCTCAGATAGAGAAGGGAGCACCAAATAAAGGGTGCTGGGAGGATCCTCCCATGATGAGAGAAGCATGCTGAAAGTAGACTATAGACCGAACATGATTGCCACTCAATGCCTCTCTTGCAAACCACAGAACCCAAAAGGAGAGAGAGAACAAAAGGGAATGCCCTGTCACAGAGGCAGAGTGGGATGGGGGGATGGGAGTGGGAGGGATACTGGGATCTGTGGTGGTGGGAATTGGGCACTGGTGGAGGGATGGGTACTTGATCATTGTATAACTGAAACCCAAGCACAAAAATTTGTAAGTCTACAACTGTACCTCATGGTGTTTCATTAATAAAAATTTAAAAAAATCAATGAGAATCAGTGAGGTCCTTGTGGGGGGTGTCTGGAAAAGGTGCCTGCTCCCCACCTCTCCATCTGGTTTAAGCTTAAGAATCTGCTGAGACTCAAACCCGGGGCCGGCCACGTGGAAGTCAAGTGCCTCCCCCCACCTCCTATCCCTCCAGGCCCAACAGCTCTGCATCACCGTCACCTGTCTTCCCCTCTGCAGGACACAAGGACCCCCAGCTCAGTGGGGACAGAGAGGGAATGGCCAGCACGTGGCCAGGGCCACTGCTGCTGGACCCACCAAGAGCCCGAGGTCAGCTGGGCGGGAGGCCCGGCCACCAGCGCCCCTCGTTCTTCTCCCCCAAAGCAGGTCAGGTGCGATGCCAAGTGGGGCTGATGCACACGAGGTTTCGGAGGCTGGGAGCAGGGCTCCAGGGAGGGGACAGCAGAGGGTGCTGGCCTTGCATGCCACCAGCTCGGCTTCAGCCCTGGGACCCCTCAGGGCCCCCCCCCCACACACACAGCACTGCCAGGAGCGAGCCCTGAGCACTGTCGAGTGTGAAAGGGAAGTCCAAGAAATAAGCAGTTTTTTGACATGTGTCAGGCTCTTCCAACAAATGGGGTAACAGGGTGTACGCTCGCTGCGGGGGGGCACTTAGGCTAAGGACCCACACTGGGCATTCTGGCATTAAGCGTCATTAAAGAAGCATACATTCTGATGAGTTCGGGCATGAAAGGCTATGATGTCTGGAACTGGTTTCAAAATAGCTCCACAAGACCGAGACAGGGAGCACAGCGGGGAGGGCGCTTGCCTGCAGGCAGCCCACCTGGGTTCAATCCCCAGCACCCCAGAGGAACCTTGGGGTCCCTCAAGATGGAAGCCCTGAGCACTGCTGGGTGTGGCCCCAAACAAAAATATTTTATTTTATATTTTAACTCTGTAGGAGGGCTGGAGCAATAGCACAGTGGGTAGGGCGTTTGCCTTGCACACAGCTGACCGAGCCGACCCGAGTTCAATTCCTCCGCCCCTCTCGGAGAGCCCAGCAAGCTACCAAGAGTATCTCACCCACACGGCAAAGCCTGACAAGCTCCCCGTGACGTATTCGATATGCCAAGCACAGTAACAACAAGTCTCACAATGTTACTGGGCCTGCCCGAGCAAATCGATGAACAACGGGAGGATAGTGACAGTGACTCTGTAGGAGATGTCACGGGGAGGGTAAAGATGGAATGGGCCTAGATAGGACAGAGAAGGGACCAATATAATAATAGTTGGAAATGAACACTTTGGACAGGAACTGAGTGTTGAAAGTAGGTAAAGGGGGGCTGGAGCCATAGCACAGTGAGTAGGGCATTTGCCTTGCACGCAGCCGACCTGGGTTCGATTCCCAGCATCCCATATGGTCCCCCAAGCACCGCCAGGAGCAATTCCTGAGTACATGAGCCAGGAGTAACCCCTGTGCATTGCTGGGTGTGACCCAAAAAGAAAAAAAAAGTAGGTCTTTTGGTGGTCTTCCAGCATCTGTATCACAAACAATAGTGAGAGAGAGAGGGAAAGAGAGAGAGGGAGGGAGGAGGGAGAGAAGAAAAGTGTCTGCCATAGAGGTGGGGGTGGGTGGGGGGAGGGAAACTGGGGACCCTGGTGGCGGGAAATGTGCACCGGTGATGGAACGGGTGCTGGAACATGATACGACTGAAACCCAATCGTGAACAACTTTGTGACTGTGTATATTATGGTGAATCAAAAAACAGATCACGGTCACGGTCCTCCCATTGCTCATCGACTTGCTCGAGCGGGCCCAATAACGTCTCCATCATGAGACTTGTTGCTACTGTGTTTTGGCATATCGTATATGTCACGGGTAGCTTGCCAGGCTCTGCCGTGTGGGCGAGATACTCTCGGTAGCTTGCCGGGCTCTCCGAGAGGGGCAGAGGAATCGAACTCGGGTCGGTCATGTTGGCCGCTTGTAAGGCAAATGCCCTACCGCTGTGAAAGATATTCAGGTTAGGCCGGGACTGGAGATTCGGCAGAGCTGGGCATGTGGGACACCCCAACCCTCCCCACTACCGCCCTGAGGAGGGAAAGCAAATTTGCTTTTCTTTTTTGTTTTGGTTTGGGGGCCATGCCCAGCGATGCTCAGAGCCTTCTCCTGGCTCAGTGCTCAGGGACCCTTTGCAGGGCCGGGGATCTAGCCAGGGTCAGTCCCACCCTCTCTTGCTAGCCACAAAGTGCGTTTTCTTCATCTGCACCAAATCTCCAGGCGACAGGACAGGCACTGCGTGAAGTCCCCAGGGGCTGCTCATCCAAAGGACGGTCTTGGGGCCAGAGCAATAGCACAGCGGGGAGGGCGTTGGCCTTGCACCCGTCCAACCTGGGTTCGATCCCCGACATCCCATATGATCTCCCGAGCACCGCCAGGAGTAATTCCTGAGTGTAAAACCAGGAGTAACCCCTGAGCACTGCCGGGTGTGACCCAAAAACAAACAAACAAAAGATTCCCCTCTTCTCCCAAATAATATGCAGACTTAACCCTGGTTTAATCCAAATAGCAGCGTGGATATGCGATTCTAAATCCTGGCAGAGGCTAGGGAGGTGGGGAGGGACCCCATGGCCAGGCAGGACTCATGTGCAGGAGACCCAGGGTCAATCCCTGGCACCAGAAAAATAAAGGAAATTTGGGGGGGGGGTGTCACATCCAGTGATGCTCAGGGATTCCTCCTGGCTCTGAACTCAGGAATCACTCCTGGTGGTGCTCGGGGACCATATGGGATGCCAGGGATTGAACCCGGGTCAGCTGCTTGCAAGGCATGAATGCCCTCCCTGCTGTGCTATCGCTCTGGCCCCAAGACAAGGAAAATTTATAGAGAAAAGCAAAGGGCTCAAAATAGATCCCTCATCCTGGGCCAAGAAGGGAAGAAATTGTGCCTCCAAGATCAGGCCTTGGGAAAAGGGCGTCTTGAGTTTTCGGCTCCCCCTGGAAATGCCCTCGAGGGGGAAACCCCAGGACAGGGACAGGCAGCATCCAGGTTGGCCAGGACGAGCAAATGACCTGGGAACTGGGTCCCCAGCCATGCTGCGGGATGACCCCTAGCAGTTGGTGGTCTTCCCAGTGACCTGGGATAGGAAGCGACTCTTTTTAAAATTTTTATTTACTTTTTATTCTCTGGTACTTGGGTTACTCCTGGCTCTGCACTCAGGCATTACTTCTGGCGGCCTCAGGGGTGCCAGGAATTGAACCCAGGCCGGCCGCGTGCAAGGGAAGGGTCCTTCCCACTCTGCTATTGCTCCAGCCCTGACAGAAGGTGGACATGCAGGACAGGGGACTTTGGTTTCTTAACGCGGGACTCCCCTGCTCCCCCCAGACTCCCGTCTGCTCTCAGCAGCCGTGGAATGCGGAACGCAGTGAGCGTTAACACAACAGCGCATCCCACGAGGGGATATTAAAATACACCATCTGGAGCAGGGAGATGGGACGGCGGCGCAGGCCCGCACACCCCCCGCCGGGTGCAGGTTCCGGCACACGGGGTCCCCGAAGCGTTGCTGGGTGTGGGCTGGCAGGCCCTGAGTTGGCAGCTTACAGGTTCCCAGGGTGACTGAGCTGCTCAGGCCCGAGCACCAAACAGATGCCCAAGCGGCTACAAATCACCCGCGGGCGTGCCCAGACCTCCTGAGCACTGAGTGGGAGGTGAGAAGAAAATAAAAGAAAAATCAAGGACCGGCGGGAGAGACGCGATTAACGGCCAGCCCAGAGGGAAGAGGCCAGCCGGCGCCTGGGCGTGCGGTGCTGCCGGCCCCTCTCCAGTCCTGGGGGTGGGGGACCCCCACGGACCAGCCCAGCTGTGACCTTGCAGGACGCCTGAGCGCAAGTGCAGATGGGAGGGAGTCACTCACCCCCACTCCTCCCGGGCACTGCCCAGAGGGAGGCAGGAAGGGAGGAGGGAGGGAGGGAGAAGGAAGGGCAAGGGTGCTGCACACACACACACACACGCACACGCACACACATGCACACACATGCACACATACACATACACGTGTGCACACACGCACGCACACACGTGCACACATATCCACACACACGCACACTCATACGTGCACACACGCACACATGCACACACATGCATGCATGCACACATATACAAGCACACACATATAGATACACACTTACATGCACACACATGCATGTATACAATACACACATGCACATATAACATGCATGCACACACATGCATGCATACAGACACACAACACAAGACACAGACATACGTGTACACACAAAATACACACAGGCACACACACATACATGCACACATGCACACACACGCACACATAACATACACTCATGCACACACACGCATGCTTGCACATCCACACATACATGCACACACACGCACACAGGCATTTAACCCAGGAGATGTCTGCACATGTCAACTCCCAGGCTCCTCTGGGTCTGAGGAAAGCATAGGGCAGGCCGGACAGCGGCTGAGCTGGGTCTGAGAGACAGGTCAGCGGGGAGGGCGCTGCCTTGCACATGGCTGAGCCAGGTTCGATCCCCGGCTCCTCAGAGGGTCCCCCGGCCCCCGCCAGGAGTGACACCTGAGCGCAGAGGCAGGAGGAAGCCCTGAGCAGTGCTGGGTACGGCCCCCAAAGAAACCGAGAGGAAACAAGAGCAAGAACGAGACAGGCTGAACGCACGCTCTGTGGGGGGAGGCCCAGGGTGGGCCCCAGCACCAGAGTCACCCGAGCACCGAGCCCGGAGTAGCCCCCAGAGCACCAGGGATGGCCCCAAAATGAAACGAAACAAAAAAGGCAAAAATGGGGAGACTCTGGGTGGCCCTGCCCCGGTCCCCTATGCTATCCCCCCCAGCCCCCAGGGTCCCATAGCCCCCATGACCCCCATGACCCCATGACCCCATGACCCCCAGGGCCCAGGCTAGTCCTCACCCCCAGCACCCTGTGACTGGCCCCGCCCGCCCAGCCGGCCTTGACTCACCCCAGCCGGCGCCCTGGCCTACACCAGCCCGTCGTAGAGCGAGAGGGCCTGCACAATGGACGGGTCGGCCTTGGAGCCTTCCTGGAACTCCTGCAGCGTCAGCTTCCCGTCGGCGTTCTGCGGGCAGAGAGGGCAGCTGGGCGGGCGGGCGGGCAGGCGGGGGCCCACCAGCACCCCCCCCACACACACACACACACCCGCCACGGTCCAGCCATTCCCTGAGCTGGGCATCAGCCCCGGGCGCTTCCTCGCTGGGTGACCTTGGCCATGGGGCTGCTTCCTGGGCGCATCTGGGCCTGCAGCCGCGGCGCTGGCTCGCTCCCTCCCTCCCTCCCTCCCTCTGCTGCGGTCATTAATCCGCTATTAATTCCCGTCAATGGTGCTGGGTCCCCAGGGCTGTGCGGCTGAGCGGCTTCTCCATCTCCAAGGCATTTCCACGGGGCCGCTGCGGGAGCGGCTGCAATGGGCCCCAGGAGACCCCAGGACCCTTTCATGGGCTCCCGGAGGCGGTGGCTGGAGCTTCCCTGAAGCAAATGCCCTGGAGACACCCCCACACGCCTCTTGACCCGGAGGCAGGCCCAGAGCTCGGCTGGGCGGCAGCACCTGGCACCCAGAAGGGGGTGCCAGGCTCCTGGCACCCGAAAAACAGCCCTTTGAGGATGCGATCTCCTCTCCACCTTCGGACCCTTTAGGCGCCCATCCACCAGGGAATCAAAGAGGACGGCCTCCTTCTGGACACGCAACGGGCCCCAAGGGCCAGCCTGAATTCTGCTCATGTGCAGCCTTTTGGCTTTGGGGGACACACCCGGCAGTGCTCAGGGCTGACTCCTGGCTCAGTGCTCAGAGATCACTCCTGGCAGGGCTCTGAGAATCATATGGGGTGCCGGGATCGAACCCAGGTCGGCTGTGTGCAGGAGAGCTCCTTCCCTGCCATCCTGTCTCCAGCCAATCACCCTTCAGTTCTCAGGCCGGGCTAACCTGCTCAGGGCCACACCTGGTTGAGGTGCCAGCTTCAAACCAGGGTCAGCCCCAGGTGGAGCCCCAAAGCCCCTAACTCGGAACTGTCTCTCTCTCTCCAGCCCTGCTCGACTCCTTCAAACTCCCCGGGGCCAAGCCAGACATAGGACAGCATGCCCGCAGCCCTGCCCGGCACCCCACCTGGCCCCTGGACCCTCACATGGCGATGAGGGGCCCCCGGGAGCACCCGTCACACACGCCTCACCCGGCCGTCAGTGGCCTTTCTGGGGCAGGGATCCGACGTGCTCAGGGCCGCTGCTCCGTGGGCAGGGAGCTGGCGGAGCAGGCAGAATGGGGGCCCCCCGAACGTCGGGGTGCGACCCCACGCACAGACCAGGGAGAGCCCCCAGGCACGGTATGCTGTGGCCCAAGACAAAAGACATATTTATCAAGGCCAGAGAGAGTTGAGCAGGGAGAGTGCTTGCCTGCCAAACGTCAGCACCCCGTCAGCACCCCAGAGGGTGCCCGAGCCCCCCAGAAGCCACCCCTGAGCACGGCCAGAATTAAGCCCTGAACATCACCGGGTGCAGCCCAAAACCCAAACACCAAAAGGAAACCAAAATCACTGTGAAATGTGCCTGGAAGCACTTTCCAGCATGCCCAAGGGGCCCGCGGCAGAGCAAAGGAACGCGCTGTATACAAGTGTGAGAGACCGTGTACATGCCTGTGCCTGTGTGTGCGTACAAGTGCGAGAAACCATACGTGTGTCTGTGCATACAGATGAGAGGTAGTGTACGTGCGTTGCCTCTATGCATGTGCATGTGTGATTTGTGCATATGTGAAGTTGTGTATACATGCATGTTTAATTGTGCACCTGTCCCCATACACATGCGTGTGGCTGTGTGTGTCCATGCACACATGTGCATACACGTGACTTCTGCACACATGCACGTGTACATGACTGTGTACATGTGTGTGTGCACTGTGCACGTGCCTATGAACAAACGCATGTTCATGTTATGTGGGGGGGGCGCGTGCACGTTGTGTAAATGTGCATATGCATGGATGTGTACTCATGTACATGTGTGAATGCGCGTGGGCACCTGTGCTTCTGTGTACCAGCCCAAGCCTGTCCAGGGAGGCTGCACCCACCCCCCGCCTCACCTTGTCCATCATGGCGAAGATCCGGTCCACCCTCTTCTCGGGGGTGTTTTCCTCCTCAGGGAGCTCCACGGTGTTCCCCTGTGGGACAGCCAGGTGGGCGGCGCTCCCTGGAAGCTCTCCCCGCCTCCCCCCCCCCCCCCAGGCAGACAGACACAGGCAGTGACCCGCAGTGACCCCGGCCAGAGGCTCACCACCATCTGGTAAATGGCGTCCACGATGTCCAGCATCTCGTTCCTCGTGATGTAGCCGTCGTTGTCCAGGTCGTAGAGCTTGAAGGCCCCTGAAATCCACAGCCTGGTGATCCCACCCGGCGGCCACGCTGGCCAGGACAGCCCTCCTCCTCCAGGCAGCAAACAGCCCCTGCCGCAGGCCAGGCGCATGGCGCCCAGAGCCAGAGCTACCCAGGCTCAGGGTGTTGGGGTGCTGGAGAGGAGGGTGAGGGCGCCGGGATCTACGGGCCGCTGCCCCCTCCTGCCCAGGGTCCCGCCTCTGCACCCTCACGCCCGCTCCCCTGCAGTCACAGAAAGTAAAACTGATGAGGGCGGGGCCAGGGGAGCCCCTGCAGAAATAAAACCCCCTTTGAGGCCTCAAGGAACAAGGAAAAAAAGCAAAGGCAGGAGCTCCCGCTGCTGCCCACCCCCGCCCAGCCCGGGTGCTGGCCCCCCAGGCCCCCCGTGGGGACCCCTTTCAAGTCCCTTCCATGCTGGCCTCTGTTCCAGCTCTGCGCAGGCCCCTGCCCCCTCCCCCTGCCCCTCCCCCACCAGGCACAGCTGTTCCACTTATACCCCTCCCACCCACCTCTCCACAACCCTCCCACCCACACCCACCCCTCTCCTCACCGCCCCCATCTCAGCCCCAGCTCCTGACTCCCCGTGTTCCCAGATCTACAGCCACACCAGTTGGCATCAGGAACCAGAGGGTCGGCCCGGCCTCCCACCCAGCATGGATGATTCGTGTGTGTGTGTGTGTGTGTGTGTGTGTGTGTGTGTGTGTGTGTTGGGGTGCGGGGTGGCAGAAGGTTCGAATAAGCAAGCTTACCAGAGGCGCTGCCCCCTCGCCCCACCTCTCCAGCAAAGCCGCCCAGGGCACCTGCATCCTGCTCAGACCCACAGGCGGCCAGGTTCCACACCCCCCGCCCGTCTGGCCGCACGGGACCCCCAGGCCTCCCGGTCAGTGCCATCCTAAAGGGCCTTGGGGACCCCCGCGAGAGCCCTGGGTAGGACTTACACCTCAGCTTCTCGTCCAGCGTCCCCCGCGAGGTCACCGACAGCGCCTGGATGAACTCGGAGAACTCAATCCGCCCATCCTGGTGGGACGGGGCTCGGTTAGCCTGGGGTCACCCAGCATGGGCAGGGCACGGGGTGGGGTCTTAGGGGCTGCAGTGGTGGGGGTCAGGAGACAAGGGAGAAGGGACGGGGAGAGGAGAGCACCTGGTGTCCCCAAACTCAGAGCCCACCACCCCCTCTCAGAAAGAACCACCCCCACCCCGTGCCCTGGAAATCTGGTTCTTGGAGTGGACGGGCGGAAAGTTCCCGCGGTTGCCCTGGGACTTCACACCCCGGGGTCCCTCCAAGGCCCCGCGGGCGGGCGGGGACGTCCACTTTGTGAAGGACGGGTCCCAGCCACCTGGGCGGCCGGGAGGGAACGGGCACATGTGGACATGGTCCGGTCCTGTGGCACTGAGAACCCGTCTGTCTGCACTGCCTGTAGCGTGTACCAGAATCATGTGTCTGTGCACACGTGTTCGTGTGGACACTGAGAGCACACGTCTGCACTGCCCGTGGCGTGTGTGCTAGAGCACGTGTCTGAGCACCCAGCCTGTGTGTGCGTGTGTATGCACATGCATGACGTTCCCGTGTCTGCGCACACGGGGTCCTTCCCCTCCCAGCTGGTGCCCGCCAGGCTGGGGGCAGGAGGCCCACTCGCCTTGTTCTCGTCGAAGACGTTGAACACGAACGTGGCGAACTTGGTGGGGTCCCCGAAGGGGAAGAACTGCTTGTAGATCTTCTGGAAGCCTGCGGCGTCCAGCTGCCCGCTCGGACAGTCCTTGATGAAGCCTTTGTACCTGGTGGGGTGGACAGGGAGAGAGACGCCAAGTCCCCCTCTGCCGGGAGCACCCCCAGCCCCTGGGAGGGGCCATCGAGACCTTGCCCTCGCTGTGTGATCTCAGCCAGGTGACTGTACCTCTTTGAGCCTGTCTGTGCAGGCATCTAAGAAGGGGCCGGGCTGGAGCCGCACCCACTCCGCCTCCCCCACCGTCTCCCAGGCACTGTGCAGACACAGGGCCCGGCCAAGAAGCTTCCAGACCCCCCAGCCAGCAGCCACGGACGGCTCTGAGGGGAGTCTAGAGCCGGAGGGGGGTGCCCAGAACTGAGCGCGCAGCCCCGTGCGGGGCCCCCAGTTCAGTCATCCACACGGCAGGGCGCCCTGGTGGCCCCCCGCAGCCCTGGGGGCTGGGCAGCCCAGGAAGCTGATGCTGGCCTTCGACGAGAGCCCGCGGCCTGCATGCCTACCCTGCCGGGGTCGGGGCAGAGGTTGGGGCAGAGCAGGGCAGCACGTGGCCCCCCTGCTGAGTGAGGGGCCAGGCCCACGCCATCGCCCTGAGCACCCCAGGAGGAGCCCCCGGGCTGCAGCACGGGGGAGGCCGTGAGCCTGGGGCTTCCCTGGCTCTGCCCTCAGGCAAGGCTCCTCCAGCAAGCGGGGTGCCAGGGTCTGAGGTCAGGGTCGGATCGGGGGTCGGCGCCGGGGTCGGAGAGGGGGTCAGCGGTGGGGGTTGGAGCAGGGGTCAGTGCCGGGGTCAGGGATCGGCACTGGGGTCGGTTGGGGTCGGCGTGGGGCAGGCAAGGCCTTCCCTGCGCTCCAGTCTCGAGATCATCTGCTGCTTGAACGGAAGCCGTGACACCTCGTGCTGAGTCCAGCCGTGGGCACGGGAGGACAGTCAGGGGACAGTCGGGGGACAGCCGGGGGACAATCGGGCGTGCAGGAACTCGGTCCCAGGAAGGGCAAGACAGACTGGCCCCCAGCGCTGCCCTGATCTGCCCCCACGTGGTTCCTCTCTTGGGGGCCCCCCCGCAGTGCTCGGGGGACTTCGTGCTAGCAAGGAAGTGCTGAGCCCAAGGGCGCCGTCCCTGCCGGGGTGCTCAGGCCCACCCATCTATGCTCGGGGCCACGGACCCCTCCAGGCTCAGAGGACCCCAGGGCACCCAGAACACCCACCTGGTGGGGTCCACCCACACACCCCGCTCTGAAAGGATTTGATTTGACTCAGAGGTCACAAGCTCCCTGCTCTGCACTCAGGGATCACGCACGGGTGCTGGGGGTCAGACCCAGGCCGGCCCCATGTACGACCGTCCCCTCCCCTCCCTGTCCTGCCCTTGCTCCGATGCCTCCCCAGATGGCTGAAGTCTCCCCCTCTCTGGCCCAAGGGGAGGCAACTCTCAGGAGTGCCCACACCATGGCTGGGAGCCCCAGCGGGAACTGGGGGGCAGAGGATGAGGCGGTGATGGGGGAGGGGTCAGGCCTGTGACAGCCGGGACACTGGGCTGTGGGAGTTGGAGGAGGCCTGAGGGGAAGGGGGTGGGGGGCCCAGCAGAGGAGGGCGGGGCAAAGGTCAGGGGTAGCTGAGCTGGGTCACGTGCCCCTAGCTCCGGTGCATGGAAGGTTGAAGCTGAGGCTGGAGGACAAAGGTCCTTGCTGGCTGCCCCCACGGGGCGGGGGTGGGGGGGGCAGTCCTGGCAGGCTTCCTGGAGGTGGCACCAGGGAGCCCGACCCAGAAACGCAGAGTGGGAAGTGTCAGGGGATGAGGGCAGGCACGAGGGCCGGGAAGGGAGGCCACAGGGACCGAGAACGCGGCCGCCTGTTTCTGGAGCGGAAAATGAGGTCGGCGCCAGGTCAGGCCCTGAAAGACAGGGAGCCGGTCCCCCAAGACTGCCTCTCACAGCCAGCACCGCGGCCAGGACTCGGGGACAGGGGACCCTGCGCACCATGCTCCTGACAGGGGGAGGCTGAGGCCTGGGGTCAGCAGAGGGAGGGGTGAGCCCTCTAGCCCCTGTCGTTCTTCCTTTCTTTCTCTTTCTCTTTTTTTTTTCTTTTTGCTTCACACCCAGTGATGCTCAGGGGTTCCTCCTGGCTCTGCACTCAGGAATTACTCCTGGCAGTGCTCGGGGGACTTATGGGATGCCGGAGATCGAACCCAGGACAGCCGCATTCAAGGAAGTGTCCTTCCCATTGTACTAGCACTCTGGACCCCCTTCACATATATATATATATATATTTTCCTTTTTTGGGGTCACACCTGGCGATGCACGGGGTTACTCTTGGCTCTGCACTCAGGAATTACCCCTGGCGGTGCTCAGGGGACCCTATGGGATGCCAGGGATCGAACCTGGGTTGGCCGTGTGCAAGGCCCTCCCCACTGTGCTATCACTCCAGCCCCTCTCTCTTTTGGTCCTTGGACCAACCCTGGCTGTGTGAGACATATTCCTGCCTCTGCGCAGGGGTCTGTCCTGGTGGGGCTTGGGGCCCATGCGGTTTGGGGGACGCAGCCCTGCGTGTACGGCCCCTGCGGGCTTTCTTCCTAACTCATTTCCTGGCTTGCTGTCACCCAGCTCAGGCTCACAGAGGCTGGGTCCAGGTGGGGGATCACCCCCCACCCCGCCACAGACACCCAGGGTCCCTCACTCGGCTCCTGGCCCAGGACACCAGCTTCAGAACCTTCGTGGCAGCCAGCGTAGACGGCTCCGTGCCCGCTTGGAAGACAACCCACGACCCGCCCGCCAGGACGAAGGGTCGCAGAAGCCAGCCTAGGGCTCCCTAAAGGAGCAAGTGCCACTCCCTCCCCCGGGGCCCTGTGACCACCCACCCAAGGGGCACCCGGCCACGCAACCCTGCGCTGAGCGCCCACCCTGGGGCCCCCACGCCCAAGTTGGGGAACCTGCTACTCACCACTGCTGCACCTCCTTCTCCGTGACTGGAAGAGAAAAGAGAAAAGCCAGATTTTAGCGCAGAGATGGGCCCGGACAGATGCAGGGACAGGGTGGGGGACAAGCAGGGACGGGATGGGGGTGGGGTCGGGGACAGACTCGGGGACAGGGGCAGATGAAGGGCCGGGTTCGGGACATAGGACAGGGGTCCTGGGGGTTGGTGGACTCGGGGTCCTGGGGGCGGATGCACGGGGGTCCTGCAGAGTCCCCCGCCCCGCAACCCCCAACCACCCAAGGCCCGCACCCGCATTCCCCACACTGCCCCTCCCCGCCTCCCCCGCAACGCCCACCCCTGCCCGAGCCTCCGGCATCATCCCCCGCCCCCCCCCCCCCCAGTCTGCCGCGAGAGCAGCCGGGACATACGGACAGGGGTCCTGGGGCGGATGCACGGGGGTCCTGGGGGCGGGTGGACGGGGGTCCTGGGGGCGGATGCACGGACACGGGTCCACCCCAACAGGGCCAGCATTGGGCCACCCCCTCTCACGTGCGGGTGGGGGTCCCGGGAGGGGCCGGCCCTGGGGGGCGGCCCCCAGACTCGGTGCCCCCCGCCGCCCCGGGCTGAGTCACAGCCGGCCGAGCCCCTCGCGCGGTGCCAGGCAACCAGGCAGAGTGTTTTTCCGAGAACCGCTGAAGCTCGCGGCTGGCACTGCACCAGCTCCGCCCCCCACCCGCGCGGCCCCCGCGCCCCCGCCGCGCCCCCCCACAAACCCCACAACGCCCCCCTGCAGAGTCCCCCGCCCCGCAACACCCAACCCCCCAAGCCCCGCACCCGCATCCCCCACACTGCCCCTCCCCGCCTCCCCCGCAACGCCCACCCCTGCCCGCGCCGCCGGCATCGCCCCCCGCCCCCCGGGAGTCTGCCGCGAGAGCAGCCGGCGGGCACCGGCCCACGAGCCAGTCTGCGACGTCAATCAAACCGGCGAGGGCGGGCCGGAGCGAGGAGTCAGCCAATGAGCACACAGGAAGGGGGCGGGGCGGCCAGGGCGTGGGGCAGCGGGCCAGTGGGCCCTGGAGGGAAGTGGGTCCTCCCGTCAGGTCCCACCTGGGGAGCGCAAACCACGGGGGCGCCGGGATGGGATGGGCTGGCCCAGGCGGCCTCTTTTCAGCTCAAGGCTGGGTAGCCAGACCCACCCTCCCACCTCCCCAGACCCAGCCGCCCGCACCTGTCCTGGGGAGGGGACAGCGACGCCCCCGCACCCAGGGCCCGAGCCGCGCAGGGAGGGGCAGCAGCAGAGACAGGACAGCGCCCTGGGCAGCCGCGCAGCCATGGGGCTCCAGCACTCGGGGCAGGCGCCAGGGAGGGCAGGGCAGGGTCGCCCAAGGCCTCCACCACGGGGAGGCCAGGCAGGGACCTTGGCTGCAGCCCCCCTCTGGGCCCTGACAGTTTCCCCAGGCTTCTAGAAGCTCAGGGGGCATCCCCTTTCACACACACATATACACACATGTGCATGTACACATACATATGTACACATACATATACATACACACATACAGAGACACACACAAATACATACACATTCACACACACACACACACACACACACACACACACACACACACACACACAAGGGCCCTGGAGAAGCTTCCAGACACCTGCAGTGAGCTCCCTGGGTTCCTGGGAATCTCTGTGTGCGGGGGCAGGCTCTGCACACTCCACGGAAGAGCAGGCCTCCCCCCCCTCAGGATGTTGAAGCCCCCAGACAGCATGGCGCCTCCTGCCCAGACTGGTCACCCAGACCATTCACATCACAATTGGCCAGCTCCATGGAAGGTAAACTGAGGCAGGGAAAGTTCCAGAAATTAGGGGGAAAGTGACCGAGATCTCTGCAGTGGAATCCGCAGGGCCTGGGCAGGGCCTGGCCGGGGCCTGGGCCCCTGGGCCAGCCCCCAGACACAGAGCAAGGACAGGGCATAAGGGAGCAGCTGCCTTCAGTGTGACCAGTCCCCATTCAGGGGACACCCTCGTCTCTGTCAGCCCGGAGAGAAGGAAGGCGGCGGACGACTATGGGGTCCCCGTGCAGGCTGGGCCAGCCCCTGCCTGAAACCCAACTCTGACCCCTCACAGTGCTCCAGCACCCGCCTGGCCCCTCTTGAACCCAGAGAGCCCCAGGTGGCCCCCGTCTTTCTGTTTTGGGGGACCGCACCCGGCAGTGCTCAGGAATCACTCCCAGCAGCATTCCAGGACCCTAGGGGGTGCCTGGTCAGCCGCAAGGCAAGTGTCCCTGGTGTGGCCTCTGCCCTCCCACTCTGGGGAAAGTGTTTGGCTGTTTCTCCGTTGGCTCCCCCATCAGGGTAGGAGGGATGCTACCCCCTCCTGGCCACGTGGGGAAAGGACCATGATAGAGAGTGACCGGAGCCAGGCCCGGGGTCAGCCCAGAGATTCAGGTCATGGTAGACAAATCTCTGAGCCTCGGTTTGCCTGTCTGTGAATTGGGACCAGAGCCAGCTCCGGCCCAAGGGAGGGGCGTGGGCTCTGCTGGACCCCATGAGTGCTCCTGGCAACACCCTTCTCTCATCTGTACACCAACTCCCAGAGGCGACGGTGGGGCCCGATCCCGGGTCCCCCGGGAGACAGAGATGAGGCTCAGTCTCCGTGCTCAGGCTCCCGGTTCTTGGCAGCGCTGGCCACCTGGCCTCAGGCAAACGTGTGCCTTGTAGGAGCCGGACCCATAGCACAGCGGGGAGGACGCTTGCCTTACTCGCTGCTGACCTGGGTTCGATCCCCGGCATCCCATAGGGTCCCTCGAGCCCCTCCAGGAGCAACCCCTGAGTGCAGAGCCAGGAGGAACCCCTGAGCACGGCCGCGTGTGGCCTAACAAACCTTACAAAGAGAAAATGTGCTTTGTAGGCAGCGCTCGCCCACCATGGGGGGGGGGGGGGTTCTGGTAATGAGGCTCAAAGGGCCGGAGCCCACCTGGGCCTGCGGGAGGCCCCGGCTCCACCCCCAGCACCACATGGTTCCCTGGGCACCGAGCCAGGTGAACACTGTGGGGGGTGCCCCAAATGTGGAGGGGGCAGGCTCCAGGAGCACTGTGGGCCGAGCAGCTCCCTGGGGTAGCAGCTCCCAGACACAGCAGTGGGAGGGATTCACGCAGGGCACAGGCTGCCCACACGACCCCCCTTCCCGTGGCCCCCACACACGCAGCGCACACACCTGCCTGGGTCCGGGGGCCCTGAGTCCCCGACAGCAGCCCTGGGCAGCGCGGCCCCCAGCCCGAGCCGGGCGCCTGCACCCATCGCCCCTTCCCCCCCCCGCCCGTGGCAGCAGCCCCTCCTGCGGACACAACTCCTGGGCACTAGCTCCCCTTCCCACATGGGCAGGGACTGCAGGCAGGGCCCGGCCTGCGAAGCCTCTCCCAGAGGACCCCAGGCCTCCCTGCCCTCTGCAGACCACCCCGGGCTGCCTGCAGGCTGTGCTCCAGAGGGGTCAGGGACCCCGGGGCCCACACAGGGTCACCCAGCTGGCCTGGCTCCTCCAGCACCTTCCCCCACCGTTATACCCACAGTCTGCACCCTGCACCCTCCTCCCTGCACCCCTCACTCCTCCCTCCCCCTCCTCCCTGCACCCCTGCACCCTTCTCCCTGCACCCCTGCACTCTCCTTCCTACACCTCTCACTCCTCCCTTCCCCCTCCTCCCTGCACCCCTCCCTCCTCCCTGCACCCCCACTACTCCCTCCCCCATCCTCCCTGCACCCCACTCCTCCCTCCCCCCTCCTCCCTGCACCCCTGCACTCTCCTCCCTGCACCCCTGCACCCTCCTCCCTGCACCCCTGCACTCTCCTCCCTACACCTCTCACTCCTCCCTTCCCCCTCCTCCCTGCACTTCTCCCTCCTCCCTGCACCCCCACTACTCCCTCCCCCATCCTCCCTGCACCCCACTCCTCCCTCCCCCCTCCTCCCTGCACCCCTGCACTCTCCTCCCTGCACCCCTGCACCCTCCTCCCTGCACCCCTGCACTCTCCTCCTTCCCTCCTCCTCCCTGCACTCCTGCACCCTCCTCCCTGCACCCCTCACTCCTCCCTTCTCCCTCCTCCCTGCACCCCTCACTCCTCCCTTCTCCCTCCTCCCTGCACCCCTCACTCCTCCCTTCCCCCTCCTCCCTGTATCCCTCCCTCCTTTTCCCCCTCCTCCCTGCACCCCTCTCCCCTGCAACTCCCAGCAGGGGCGGCCCCAGGGCTCAGGAGTTCCCGGCACTGTGGGGCTGAGGCCTTGGCACTAGGGTCTGAGCCCGGCTCCCTGCCCCAGTCAGGGGGTGCTAAGGGGCCCACAGACCCAGGGAGGACAGAGCATGCGCAGAGTGGAAGGAGCCGGGCGCAGGGTGACGCTGGTGTCCTGGGGTACAGCACCAGGTTCGAGCTGCAGAGGCGGGGCCATAGCGGTAGGATAGTGGGGAGGGTGACCCCAGTTCGATCAACCCCTGGTACCCTGCAGGATGCCCCCAGCCTCCCTAAGTGCAGAGCCGGGAGTCAGCCCTGAGCACTGCCAGGTGTGGCTCAAAACCCCAAAAATAAAAATAAATAAAACACAGGCAGCTAAGAGGGAGACTTGCGGGCGCAGAGGGGTGAGCTCCCCAAAGACCCCAACAGGGAGAGACTCCCCAGAGCCCGTCTGTTTCCCAACTGGGCCCTTTGGAGCCACTGGAATTCTAGAACACTCTAGAACACTCCCGAACACTCTGGGACATCGCAGAACCTGGCAGCATGGTAGCAAGCTGATGTGGCACTCCTGGCTGAGAGGGGTCCCTACCAGGCCCCAACCCCCTTTACTGATGAAGACCCCAAGGTCTCCGATGGACTGGGAGAGCCCATCACAGCGACAACAACTAGAGCTGGGCCCGGGTCCACCTGGAGACGTCCAGCAGGACTCAAGGAGGCAGCTCAGAACCGGTCCTGCCCTGAAGGGGACATTCCTGCTGGGCGCCCCCCAGCCAGCAAGCTCCCGGCTGCAGGTGCCGGAAGGGGACACCTGAGGAGGGGTGCAGGCCTC